CACCATGGCCGGCGCTTGAGTTCTGGTGGTCAACCGAAGGTGCACATTTTCAGCTGACCTCAGTGGCAAGTAAACACGATTATTTTGTTTGTTTACAAACTGCTGGACAACGCATGTTTTCTCATCGAAGACAACCAAATTCGGAATTTCACTATTTTCGGCCAAGCCAATATTTTCTTTCTATTGCGGTGTAAGTTCTTGCACGTTTTGGAATTTCAATGGCTTTACTTTGAACTCATTTTCAAATTTGCCGAATGGATTATTGCAATATGTTCAGCTCACGAGCCATTTGTCGGCCACTGCGTCACGGGTTTCGATCAATTCGCTTCTTTATGTTTTGAACCATTTTGCTAATGTAGCTGTTTTCTTCCGTCCTCTTCCTTGACGTCGGCCTACGCTACCAGTATCACGGTAACGAGCGATGGTACGAGACAGAAAAGATTTATTCAAATTTAAATGCTGGAGTACTCTAACGATAGCCAATTGTTGTTTTCCAGCCAAACATAAAGAAATCACACTATCACGCTTGAATTCCATCACGAATAACTTTTTTTTCTGGAAAATTCTCACCCAAATGCTTTTGTACGCTTGTAAACCATATAATAAGCTGTCACTGGAATAGTTTTAACAGCTGTCAGACGAATGGCTTAGAAATGGCGTCACACAACAACAAGGGTCTCAAGTTAAGTAGGGTGTCCAATGCAGATTGAGGTGTGCCTTTGAGGGCACCTGTAATTAAAAGTGATGCCGCTCTTTGTACTTTTTCAAAGTTTCTTTTACTGGGGGAAGCCTTCCCCAGAGAGTACCACCACACTAAACCACCATAAGCCAGAATTGGACGGACGATTGACTCATACAGGGTTGCTCATATTCGACGGACCCATCTGGCAACGCCATAACTTTTGACAGAGATGTCACATCGCTTAATGACATACCGCGTTTGAAGCGTCAGTCCAAGCAGATTTTTACCATGAACCAATACACGCCACGCGAGAGCTGTGAAATTTACATTCAGCAGAAGAAGTCAATTGTAAAAACTCAACGTGCTTTTAAAACATTAAAAAATGTGAGAAGTGTGCCTTCTAAGAACACCATTAAGCGTTTATACGAAACATTTTCGACTGGTAAGGCTCTTTCTAATCCGAAGAGGCCATATAAAAGTCAACCAAGGCGATCGGCCGAGAATATCGCTGCCGTACGAGCCAGTGTTGAGAGGTCCCCAAGAACATCCCAAAAACGCCGTTCTCAGCAGTTGGGCATGGCTCGGTCCACTTTACAACGGATTATTCGCATTGATTTGCATTTGTTCCCGTACAAAATTCAATTGACGCAAAGAATGTTGCCTGCGAACAAGCCTCGTCAATTGGAATGGGCCCAAAGAGTCATGGGTCCGTCGAATATGGGCAACCCTATATAACCATTTGTTAAGTATTTTCTTTATAACTAAAACATATATTATTCATAAATAATATATTAATATAATTAGGTTATGGAAATTTTTAATTAACAAATAAAAAAACTAAAATCAAAATACCGAATATCGGGAGGTACTGTTATGTGGGGACTATACCAAAACGCGAACCGATATAACTCATTTTCAATAGCAATCATCCTAAACACAATACAAATTGTAAATTTAGACGCTCTACGTCAAATAATGTGGGCTGTATCGTGATTTCAACAGACAGACGGACATCGTTAAATCGAATTAGAATTTTATGCTGATTATGAATATATATACTTTATCCGGTCTACGACGAATATTTAGGGATGTTACAAACGGAATGACAAAGTTAATATACCCTCCTTTCCAAGGTGGAAGGTATAAAAATTGTTCCCCTTGTCCGAAAAAATCCAAGCTTCTGCATTACTTGATACATGACACATGGATAATTTTACTACATTATTCACCATAAGCATTATAACCACTAGAGGACATTACAATTTATTTCGAAAAATTTCAAATATTTTCATAAAGTCTCTTAAAAATTTTCAAAAATATTTTACTTATATTTGCCAGAATATATTTTATTAATAAACTTGTTAAGAACTATCTTTGTTGCATGTTAACAATTAAAGAGATTTCAACGTATTCTATTTTAATAGAATTTAATAATTTCATTAAGAAGAAACTAAATTTCAAATTAGAAAGGACATAATTAAAATAAAATTACATTAAAAAATGCGATGCTACATACAAATGTACCCGTTTAATAAATATAAAATATAAAACAGACAGACATACATACACACAACCAAAAATGAAATCATAGAGAAAATAGAACGCAAATATATAACTGTCTATATGTACTCCACAGAAAAATACACACACACACACACACACATAGCAACACTCATATATCTAAAAATGATGTACTGGAAACATGATAATATAGACATACTTGAAACACAAATAAAAAAATAATACAAAAATACTATGGAGAATTGTCAATATATTAACTATTATTATTATATATTTAATTTAAAAGATAAATTTTGTTTATAAGATGGCTTTATATAAACTTAAAGAAAAAAAACTAATATACTTACTATGTTAACAAAAAAAAAATACTAAAATAAAGTAATAATAATGATAAAATTGTAACGATAAAGCATAACCAACAACAAAAGCAAATTGTAAGAGATAACCAGAACAAAAATATATACATTCAAAATGAATAGGAATGAAATAAATGAAATGCTGATTGTCAATTTAAATAAATGCCAAATGTGTTGTGCTTTGCAACTATGGAGAGGACGAGCCGGTAAGTATGGAAAGTAAAATTAGCATAAACGTATGCATAAAGTTAAAGGATACTGAAAAGTTGAAATTAAAGGAAATTTTGAAATTTCTGGTTGTGGATTTCGAAATAACAAAAACCTTAATATAAGAGGCTTAACCAAAACGTGGCCTTATATATCACATTTGCACGGATTTTTCCTGTTTTACGGGGAACCTAAAATCTCAAAACAGTTAAAATATATTCAAAGTTTAAGTCGAAGCTCGAAGGGGTATTTGAGAAAGCAGTACAGCTTGTACTCCTAAACTTAAAATAAGAATCACTGATGGGGTGTGTGATAGATGTACCAAAGGATTTTTGGAAATTTGCACTATAAGTGAACGAAAAGTATTAAAATGTTCTAAAAACTTGAAGTTTTTAATGGGAATCAAGGTTGAAGAGTAGAGGTAGATGTATAGAGGTAGTTTTGGAAGTCTATATTCATGTACAGGGTTAGATGAAAAAACTGCAAACAAATTCAGACTGCTGTAATTGTATTGTTTACAGCTCATTGTATTGTTTACAAGCGTACAAAAGCATTTTGGTGAGAATTTTCCAGGAAAAAAGTTATTCGTGATGGAATTCAAGCGTGATGGTCTGATTTCTTTATATTTGGCTGAAAACCACAAGTGGCTATCGTTAGAGCACTCCAGCATTTAAATGTGAATAAGTCTTTTGTGTCTCGTACCATCCATGGTACAATGATATCAAGGTAGGGCTATGATACCATATGATTTCAATTTTTTTTATTTTCTTGGCTTAATATGTCATCTTTATTTGTTGATGTATGTGTTTTCTTTTCAATAACAAAAAATTCGGATGTTTTAAAATGTTTATTTCATCGTATGCATCGAGAAAATCTAGAGTTTTTGTAGCGAAATAATCCTTTGGAGATATATAGAACCTGGTTTTGAAAAGAAGTGTTGACCTTTCATTCAGTTTTCGCGGTTTTCAATTATTTATTCAAAATAAATGCAACACGTTGTTTGATTTTTTTATTGTTTTGATACTAATTCTGACATTACAAGCCAAACAGGTAGACCTTTATACTTGCAATTTTTTCAAAGTTGGCCTACCTTCTCTTCATTGTACCATGGTACCATCGCTCGTTAAAGTGATATAGGTAGCGTAGGCCGACGTCAAGGAAGTGGACGGATGAAAACAGCAACATCAGCAGAAATGGTTCGAAAAGTAAAGAAGCCACTTGATCGAAACCCGCGTCGAAGTGGCCGAAAAATGGCTCGTGAGCTGAACATATCGCAATATTCCATTCGGTAAATATTAAAAAATGAGCTCAGGGTGAAGCCATTGAAATTCCAAAAAGTGCAAGAACTTACATCGCAACGGAAAGAAAAGAGACTCGAAAGAGCTAAAAAGTTGCTTCGCTTGGCCGATAGTGATGAACTGCCGAATTTGGTTTTCTCCGATGAGAAAACATTCGTTGTCCAGCAATTAGTGAACAAACAAAATGACCGTGTTTACTTGTCAAACAGGTCAGCTGAAAATGTGCACCTTCGTTTGGCCATCAGAACTCAAGCGCAGGCATTGGTGTGGGCCGCCATAACAGCCGATGGTCGCTCTCCGCTCGTATTAGACGACCGTGGCATCAGAATAAATGGCGAATATTATCGCGAAAATATTCTGGAGGCGGACGGATGGATGGCGGACGGATGGATGGCCCTCCAAAAATCAGCTCAGAAAGTGTTTCTATGAGGACCTTCAAAAGGAACTATGGATTTATCTCGTTTTCTTCTCCATGTTACAAACAAATGCACAATGCCATAATACCCTGCCCAAAGTGTGGTGTAGGGTATAAAAATCATGTAAGTACTCGGGTATGATTGAATTATTCATACTCGTTGAAGCCCTCTAGTACGGAGCATTGCACCAAGGGTAAATACGAGTTCTAAATTCTTAATTGGGTGCAAGCAGTCAATTTAACCTCTGAGATACATAACTTAGTTGAAAAGTTTGTCCAATTATTCTGGAGATACCGTTAAATGGCGAAATATCAAAAAATGAACCTTTGTGGACCCCAAAAGTCCGGAGGCTATGTGGGGCTCTAGCAATATATAGACTAATATATTCCATTTAAAATATTAAACATTCCAGAAAAAAAATATTGTTGCCTATGCAGAATTTCAAAGCCATGTCTTCCGAAAATAATATTAGAAATCTGATTCTGTCAAACATATTTTCCTTTAATTAAAACTATTTTTTTTAATTTCCATGATAAATTTATTTATGTATATACATTATTTATATTAACGTCAAAATATGTATATGTGTCAGTGAAAGCAAATAGCAGAACTGAAAAGAAAATCATTGTTTCAAATACCAAAAATCTACTGTTGTCTCACAACAGTCTTGTTCGGATCATGACGGATGACCACATCGACGAGACTCATGTTGGGTGTCAAGAAATTGACCAAACGATCGGCACCTTGGCGTGGCAAGCGATCGAATGGATAACCCATGGCACGACGATCGGGGTAGCGGCGATCACGCACGCCACAATAGGAAGCGGCATCACTGCAGGAACCCACCAGATCTTGATCAACCTAAACATAAACCAATAACAATTAGAAAATTCTCCAATTATCACTAACCCCATCCCCTTGTATACTTACACGATCATCTTCATAGTTCGAGACCATAACGAACAGTTCGCAAGGCATACCCTCTGGCAAACCTTTGGGAATCAACATATGTTCGGGCCAACCACAACCACAGAAGTTGAATTCCAATTCTTCGGCTGTACCGGCGGCAGGGCGATTAGCATCCAAATTGCGGAAGACACGCTCAAATGGAATGGTGACACTAGATTCGGTAGAGCGACGTCGAATGGTGTTTTGGCCAGGATTCACTGCAAAAAACATAGCACCCCATTAACAAAGACATTCTAGAAATACACCCTTAACTTACATTGCACAATGAATTTATCCAATTCAACCATCATCAGACGCTGATCTCTCAACAACCACGGCTGGCCACGTTCATCGGTCTTGGGGCCCAAGAAAATGCGCACTGTGCCAAAGCGTTGTGCCCCACTGGCATTATTCACATTTATTGTGTAGGTGAAGGGAGTGTGCTGCAAGTGCGTGAAACGAGCAAAGACATTGCCACGCGGTACAAAGTCCATACCTCGAGATAGATCAACATCCGATTGTTGCCAGAAGGTGGACAAGACATTTGGCCGACCTCCATCTGAGCTCACTTGAACACCGGCAATGGAAATGCCATTGTATTGTAACTGGGGCAGCGTGTAGGGTGGCAGGCGTGTCTTATGCTCCTGGAAGATATCATCGATGTAGGCATGCCAACGGTAGAATACAGGATCACGCATAGCCGTAGCCGAATCACCCATAACGCCAAACGACTCCAAGTGGCGATGGTCAGGATCATGAGAATATGAGATGAAGACATGGCCCAAATTATGCAAATCACCATAAACTTGTTGATTGGGAGAGATTATGGATGCCTCCAACATATTACCCAAAATATCAATGCCACGATTCTCATCCAACGGAATACGATTGCCGCTGCTGTCAACAACGAACCCCTGGTGAATGGCTTCGAAAATACGATCACGCCATCTCTCCAAATCGGAAATGTCCAAGTTGATTTGATCCAACTCACGATTCAAGTCCTTCAACGATGTGTTATCGAATCGAGGAGGCCAGGCACGACTTGAAACCAGCGAGTCCATTTTGGGGAAATAACCCTCAGCAATGGGTTCACGGAAGTTATTGAAACGTGTCACACGAGCCAACTTGTTGCTGAAACGTTCCATGTTGTAGCGAGCCACAACTTGTTCGTGCATGTAGTAGAACAATTCTCCACGACGATCCTTGTCAACGACACGGCGATCGCCAGCTTCGAAAGGATACACCAAGTGCCAATGCCAGTGATGTAGATTAATGCCCATGTCTTCGCGGAAATACCACAGACGATGTTCGGGATCTAAATCAGAAGCAGTATAGTCTCTGGGCACCACAATGGGCATTCGAGAACCCTCCGGCACGACGGTGGCTTCCTCCCTCATCTGACGAAAGACTTGAGAGTCAATGAATTTGTCGGGGAAACTCTGGGCAAAGGAAGGCAAATCCACACCTTTGGTATCTGGACGATGCAACAAAGCCACAGACAATGCATAATTGAAGAGATACGGATTGACACGGTCACGAGCATATACGGCAACGCTCATCAAATCATCTACGGTACGCATTCCCATGAAGATATCAATCAAACGACCGGCGATGCGACGATGACTTGGTATGAAGAGTGAAAATTGTTCATCGCGTCCCAAGGACATGGGAATGCGTAAATCGGGCAGACTAATGTCCCTAACTGGCACTCGCTGCTCAGCGTTTTCACCGAAACGACTTTGAATTTCATTGCCAATGGGGCGATAGCGATCTGTTAAGAACTTGTCAGGTACATCGAATACGGTTTTGTTGCCTTTTTCCATGAACACCGGTTCAGTGGGTCGGTCGAACAGCAGCAGCAGATTCTTCTTGGTGGACATTTTGTGAGCTGTTTAAATCGGTTGCAATTGAATGTACGATGATTTCAATTTAGCGTTGTTTAAAAAGCCTTCGGCTCAAAGTGAATTTTGTAAAATGTTGTTCAATTGTCCAAAGAAAGTCAGCCAATGAACTGATGAAGATACCCTAGTGGCGGTGACTTTTTATACTATATCTTTGTGGAAACTACCAACTCCTTTTCTTCATTTCACACGCACTTTACAAATGCGTATGCGGTTTGTCAGAATCAACATAACAACACAATAGTTTGTGGTTAGTTTTTGGATAGATCGGTGGTTAGGTAGGTAGTGTGTCACTTTTCACATATCACAACTGGTTTGAAATATCATTATTATTATTATTTTCTTTAAATGATAATATGGTGTAAGCCTATATAACCACATTGTGGAATAACATGATTACCAATATAGCCACCCTCTTACAAATACAATATAGTGTATTCAAAAATCGTTGATAGTGAAACGATTAAAGTGTGGAGTTTTTTTTTTTTTAATTTTATGATATTACTAGCTGAACCCGGTGCGCTTCGCTTCGCTTTTATATGCATTCAAAATTTTATTTACGAATATATGTTGGTTAAAAAAAAAACAAATTTAAAAATTTAAAAAAAAAAAATGATTGCACTACTTTAATGCGTAAATAACCAAAACCATTAGAAAAGCAGTTACATGACATACATACACGAAGGGTTTGTCCTTCGGATTTATTTATTTCATAGCAAATACCAAGCGTGCAGTAAACTGCAATCTTTTGAAGTTGAGTGGCATTTCTATTTGCAATTAGTGAATTCGAGATAGCAACATACTTCGCCGTAATAAGCGTATTTCAAATCAATTGTTGTGTTGTTTTTTAGTGTTAGCCTAAGGCGTTGTGGGTCAATGGTTCTTATTAAAATCATATCCCAATCTGATCCCATTTAAATATAATTTTAAAAAAATTACTTTTACACCAAACTCCGCCACACCCTTCATATTTCATTGAAATTGGTGCGTCAAATATGTGAAATCGGCCGATAATATATATATGGGAGCTATATCCAAATCTTAACTAATTTCCAATTAATTTGTCACATTTATTATTGTAACCAAATTCCGCCACACATTCTGAATTTCATTGGTATCGGTCATATATATCATGTTTGGTGCATAACATATATGAAATCGGCCGAAATATATATGTTAGCTATATCCAAACCTCAACTGATTTAGCGATGTCCGTCTGTCTATCCGTCTGTTGTAATCACGCTATCTTTCGAACGAATTGAGGTAGAAGGCTAAAATTTTGCACACATGTTTATTTTTCGGGTAGACATGTTAAGTTCGTATATGAGCCATCTAGGTCCACGTCTTCGTATAGCCCCCATATAACGGTACCTCCCGATATTTGGTATTTTGATGATTTTAGCGACATTATTCACCGGATTTGTTTCAAATTTGGTATTTGAAGTTCGTGATGGATACTACAGCATGTGACAGAAAATTATCTATGCAGGTCTACGTCTTCGTATAGCCCCCATATAACTGTACCTCCCAATATTCGGTATTTTGATGATTTTATCGTCATTGTTCACCGGAATTGTTTCAAATTACGTATTTAGAATTCGTAATGTAATCTACAGTCTGTGACAGAAAATTGTCTATGCAGGTCCAGGTCTTCGTATAAGCCCCGCATATCAGTACCTCCCTATATTCGGTATTTTGACGAGTTTTGGTACAATACCCACCGAAATTGTTTAAGATCTCATATTTGAACTTCGTAATGGATGCTACAGCCTATGACAGAAAATTGTCTTTGCGGGTCCAGGTCTTCGCACAGCTCCGATATATCGGTACCTCCCTATCTACGATATTTTGATGATTTTAGGTAAATTATTCACCGTTTATTTCAAGTTTTCGAATGTGAATATGGCAATGGCTTATGACCAACATTGTCTATGCAGTATTTTTAAAATTTAAACAGAATTTTTTAAGGATTTTATTTTTTGAAAATTTCCAAATTCGTTCCAAATGGTGCAGGGTATTCAAAGTTCGACCCTGCTGAACTAACTGTTTTTTTAACTTGTTTCTGTTTTTGGTTCATTTGAATCCCTAAATATTTTGCGATCATCTATAACTGATGTATGTCCGAATTTTGACTCATCTGTATGATTTGCTTGTCTACTATACTTGGCTATATTCGTCAACGAATTTAGTGTAAAAACGCCAGAAGTTCGCTTTTGTGTATTTTGGATTTCGCCTGTAAGTTCCAGCCATTCTTGAGATATAAGCATTCTTGCTAACATCCCCTTCCTTTGTATATACATGGCCAAAACTAAAGCAACTTAAATCGCAAAGACAATAACAGCCTGTTCCACGATCTCGAAAGAAAATTTGTGCGAACGAAGGCTACTCACTCACTTTCGCATAAGAATGCGTTCCACTAACTTTCGTTCTTTCTTTCGCATAGCCTTACGTGATTCAGTGTTGCAAAATATTTTTTGGCAAAATTAATCCGAAATAAGGCAAAAAAAGCGCCAAATGTCTAATATAAACGCGAAAAAGCAGCAGTGGCTCTGTCTCAACTGACAGTTCAGTTGTAAACAAACAAATTGTAAATAAACAAACAAAATAAAATTTCTAGTGATTGTGTTCAGATTATTTGTGTTGTTAAAAAAGAAAAAAATGAATATTTCTGTAGCCCTATTTTTTATGGATGATGAGGAGGAGGTTCAAATTGTGCCACGGAGGCATTTAAGAGATGCTTCGAATTTATTTGAAGTACCTAACAACCAGTAAGTATGATTGTATTTTTACATTTTTAAAATAATAAAAAAATGATTTTTTCTAGGTTTGTGTCTTTCAGTGGTCTTCATGGGATTGCCTGCTGCTTCCAAAAATTGGCACTCCTCTGGCGAACTTAGGATTCTCCCCCATATACTCAACTAGTGCCCGCAGCTGTGTAGTTTTTTCGTGCTGGAATTGAGAAAATAAAAAAATATATATTTGTTGTTCACAGATTAAATTGCATTTATTATTTTTACTTACATTTTTCTTTCCATTTTCAATCAAGGAATGTTTATGTTAAAACAATTTTCCTTAATTTTTATTATTCGACAGCAAACACACAAGTGACTGATTTTGACATTTGTGTTCGCATGCGTACGAAAGAAAAAAGATAGTGGAACGCAAAATTACACTGAAACGCTTACGTTTTCGTTCGCTTTGATTTTCGTGCAAATTTTCGTTCTGATGGATTTTAGTGGAACGGAAATCAGCTGTTTGTCGTGTAAAAGTTGTGCGAACGTGTTCTTTCGATATCGTGGAACAGGCTGTAAATGTCCTGTAACTTTTACAAAAATAAACAAATCGTAATTATTTTTCCAGTTTTAAATAAGGGGTTTAATTCACTTTTAAGAAACTAAAAATAAAAATACAAAAATAAATAAATCCACGATACTCCAAAGGTTTTCTAAGGAGTTTAGGTCAGGTGATTGTGCCGGCCATAACAAAACATGAATTTTTGACTCCCGCAACCAATATTTGACAAGTTTTGATACAAGTTTGGGATCATTGTTATGCTGAAACACCCAAATCAGCCGAATATTTTACTCAGCGTAAGGGAACAACGTGATGTCCAACACATCTTTGTAAACAAACCGATCCACAACTTCCTTTAATTTATGGATAGGCCCAAGTCCTTAGAAAGAACAACAGCGCCACGCCATTTTTGACCCTCCCTCATGCTTCACTGTACCTTTGCAACACTGCGACTTGAGTCTTTCATTTTTTGGCCTTCTCACCGTACAATTTTTCATCTCAGAAATAATGTTGTTTCCATTGAGCTTGATTCCACTTAATATTATCGTTCCCGAAAGCCTTTTTGATTTTTTTTTTTTTTTGAGATAAATGATTTTTTGATGTCTTACGGGCATGCAGACCAGCTGCCACTACTCGTCTACACACTGATCTCGAGCTTATATCCAATGATTGCTCTCTCACCAATCCAGTTGAACTCTTAAAAAGTTGTTTTTTATTTCTCTCACAATTTGTGGATCAAGTTTTTCACGGCCTTCATCCGTTATAGACTGTTACTACTGATCCAATTTCAAAAAACTGACTTAGTATACAGAAATAATTATAAAATCACATAAATATTTATGAAAAATTTCTCGGAAATCATTTTCTGTAATATGTTGTTTTGATAGTCACTGATAATTTGCTGTTTTATTCAGGTACTGTATTTGCTTTTAGCCATTTTTAAATTTTTTTTGGGCAGTGTATATATCCGATTTATTTACTATCGGCATCTACGTAACGGTCAGAATTTACCTTTTCGTCTATTTGTGATTTCGCTGGAATTAAAAGTATATGCGGTTTAATGGAAAATTTGCGATGACCATCCAAATTGGAAGGCTTCTGCCAGCTCTAAGTTCTAGTCCCATGCTAACTTACTCTTCGATTGGTCTATAATTGCGACCTGTAAAGCAACTGCAAAATCAGGAAATATAATTTATATATAAATATAGATATAATTTGGGTTACATTTCGATATAAACTTTCAAAAAGCCGATATGTGTGTCTTTTTTGTTTCTCTGTTTCCAGTAATTAAATGTTGTGTCACACTTTGTTATATATAAAACTAGCTGGGCTAGTCCGCGTTGCCGGCCAGTACTTTTATTCTTAAATGCATGTTTTTTAAAACACATCTGACTTATATAAGCGTCATAATTTTCATTTTATATTTCTAAATACAAATAAATGTTCATGGCAAAAATTATAAAAGATGTTCAACTACCGTCGGTTTTAGATATTTGAATAGCCTGATCTTATTTTTCAGTCATAGGCTTTAATTTGAGTGTTAAAATTTTATATGATCAATTTTTGGTTTTGTAAAGAGCATACAAAAAAATTTCAAATTTGAACTTTTTATTTCCAACGTTTAGGATAACGTGATGCGTGGTATTTAGTCAAAAATAAAAACAATTAGTCAAAAATAATAACTCTCTTACACCCATTACCGTAAGATGGGAATTATTTGGGAAAGAGAACTCGGGGGGGTCGCATTGAACTGCCCTAAAAAGACTACACATCATATTAGAATTAATAAAGATAAAAAAAATCGAATATAATAGCTCAAAATGAAAAAAAGCAATATAAAACATTATTATTGTACATTTAAAAAATCAATATTAAAATTTTCAAATCTCACATTTTTACGCGATTACTTGGATTTTTATGTTAACCATAACCATATTTAACGTTCATTGTCGGCTAATGACATCTATACCAAATCCAGCTTAAGTGCATTTATAGAATATAGAGAATTTATATACCATTCACATCATTTGTGATCTAAAATAACGACAATTTAACATAGTATTGCCGCTCCTTCTATATCTGTAAAAGAGGAAAATGTTTGTTTGTTTGTTTGTTTGTAATTTATGGACTCGAAAACCACTGAATAGATTTTCCTGAAAATTTCCATATATACTGCAATATCGCCTGAAAGTAACATAGGCTATATACATTTTTGAATTTCCACTTGGAACTGGAGATATAACATCAGAAACGGAGGTACCTCCCAAAATTTAGATTTTATATGCACATATCTATTGATTGGTTGAAGATACAGTCTCCAAATTTGGAAAACGTAACGGAATTTGGAATAAAAATAAGTTTGCCAAATTATATTGTAATCGGTTCAGATTTGGATATAGCTCCCATACATATTTTCGACCATTTTCGTTCATTTTATTCCTCAAACACAATATGAATGTTCGATTCCAATGAAATTTGGAATGTGTGACGGGATTTAATCCGAAAATAAATTTGTCAAATTATATTGAAATCGGTCCAGATTTGGATATAGCTCCCATATACATTTTCGGCCGATTTCATGTATTTGGTGGACCAAACACGATATGTATTTCCAATTATAATGAAATTTAAAATAAGTAACGGAATTGGGAGCCAAAATGAATTTGTCAAATTAAATTGAAATCGGTTCAGATTTGGATATACCTCTCATATATATTTTCGACCGATTTAATGTGTTTTATGCACCATACACGATATGTATGTTCGATTCCAATAAAATTTGGAATATGTAACGGGATTTTGATTAGAAAATAAATTAGTCAAATAATATTAAAATCGGTTCAGATTTGGATATAGCTCCCATATATATTTTCCGCGGATTTCACATATTTGATGCACAAAACACGATACGTATTTCCGATTCCAATGAAATTCGGCATGAGTGGCTAAATTTGGTACAAAAATAAATTTGACAAATTATATTCAAATACGCTCAGATTTGATTATAGCGATGTATACTCAGCCGATTTCACATATTTGATGCACCCAAAGCGAGAGAGACAAAATGTGGCACCAGAAAAAATTGCCAAATTATATTGAAATCAGTTGAGGTTTGGATATAGCTAACATATATATTTCGGCCGATTTCATATATGTTATGCACCAAACATGATATATATGACCGATACCAATGAAATTCAGAATGTGTGGCGGAATTTGGTTACAATAATAAATGTGACAAATTAATTGGAAATTAGTTAAGATTTGGATATAGCTCCCATATATATATTATCGGCCGATTTCACATATTTGACGCACCAATTTCAATGAAATATGAAGGGTGTGGCGGAGTTTGGTGTAAAAGTAATTTTTTTAAAATTATATTTAAATGGGATCAGATTGGGATATGATTTTAATAAGAACCATTGACCCACAACGCCTTAGGCTAACACTAAAAAACAACACAACAATTGATTTGAAATACGCTTATTACGGCGAAGTATGTTGCTATCTCGAATTCACTAATTGCAATAGAAATGCCACTCTACTTAAAAAAATTGCAGTTTCCTGCACGCTTGGTATTTGCTATGAAATAAATAAATCCAAAGGATAAACCCTTCGTGTATTCATGTCATGTTACTGCTTTTGTAATGATTTTGTTTATTAACGCATTAAATTAGTGCAATATTTTTTTTTTTTAATTTTTAAATTTGTTTTTTTTTTTTTAACCAACATATATTCGTAAATAAAATTTTGAATGCATATAAAAGCGAAGCGAAGCGCACCGGGTTCAGCTAGTAATATCATAAAATTTAAAAAAAAAAAAACTCAACACTTTAATCGTTTTACTATCAACGATTTTTGAATACACTATATTGTATTTGTAAGAGGGTGGCTATATTGATAATCATGTTATTCCACAATGTGGTTATATAGGCTTACACCATATTATCATTTAAAGAAAATAATAATAATAATGATATTTCAAACCAGTTGCGATATGTGAAAAGTGACACACTACCTACCTAACCACCGATCTATCCAAAAACTAACCACAAACTATTGTGTTGTTATGTTGATTCTGACAAACCGCATACGCATTTGTAAAGTGCGTGTGAAATGAAGATAAGGAGTTGGTAGTTTCCAACAAGATATAGTATAAAAAGTCACCGCCACTAGGGTATCTTCATCAGTTCATTGGCTGACTTTCTTTGGACAATTGAACAACATTTTACAAAATTCACTTTGAGCCGAAGGCTTTTTAAACAACGCTAAATTGAAATCATCGTACATTCAATTGCAACCGATTTAAACAGCTCACAAAATGTCCACCAAGAAGAATCTGCTGCTGCTGTTCGACCGACCCACTGAACCGGTGTTCATGGAAAAAGGCAACAAAACCGTATTCGATGTACCTGACAAGTTCTTAACAGATCGCTATCGCCCCATTGGCAATGAAATTCAAAGTCGTTTCGGTGAAAACGCTGAGCAGCGAGTGCCAGTTAGGGACATTAGTCTGCCCGATTTACGCATTCCCATGTCCTTGGGACGCGATGAACAATTTTCACTCTTCATACCAAGTCATCGTCGCATCGCCGGTCGTTTGATTGATATCTTCATGGGAATGCGTACCGTAGATGATTTGATGAGCGTTGCCGTATATGCTCGTGACCGTGTCAATCCGTATCTCTTCAATTATGCATTGTCTGTGGCTTTGTTGCATCGTCCAGATACCAAAGGTGTGGATTTGCCTTCCTTTGCCCAGAGTTTCCCTGACAAATTCATTGACTCTCAAGTCTTTCGTCAGATGAGGGAGGAAGCCACCGTCGTGCCGGAGGGTTCTCGAATGCCCATTGTGGTGCCCAGAGACTATACTGCTTCTGATTTAGATCCCGAACATCGTCTGTGGTATTTCCGCGAAGACATGGGCATTAATCTACATCACTGGCATTGGCACTTAGTGTATCCTTTCGAAGCTGGCGATCGCCGTGTCGTTGACAAGGATCGTCGTGGAG